TTTTTTAAGTTACATTTATATACAAATTACATGAATAATAGTTTTTGATCTTATTGACATAATAGAAAAAACTGAACTGGTTATTTGAATAAAAAATCATGAGTGCAATTAATTTAATTAAAATTTTCGTATTTTTAAAAAATACTAAAAAAGGGCTTGAAATAATAGATTTTCTCACAAAAGATGCGAACTTGAAAAAAAAGGAAAAAAAAGTGGGATCCAAGACGAAACGCGAACCACGGAACTCCGCTACCACGCCCGAACAACATCCCATCTGAGCTATTACGATCGTTGGTAATCTGTCAAAATTTAACTTCTTGTATTTTGTATTGTATTATATTGTAGCAGTTTTTTTATTGCCTGAAAACACGGACAAAAGGACATTTTTTGAAAATAAATCCTAGCTAGATCGATTTATTGCCCCCGAAACTCCCTGGACACTTAAATTTTATGAAAATCGTTGGAGCCGTTTCCGAGATCCCGATTATATAGGTATAGGTATTTAAAGGTATTTAAAGGTATAGGATTTGAGCCAATTTTAAGATATTTTAAACTTAAGCAAATGTTTATTACATTGTGTGTGATTGTTTATGAAATAGCAATATAAATAAATAAAATGATGAATATACAGCATGTATTGAGACTTAGAAATCTCTTGATTTTTTCTGTTATTACCGCAAGCGAGATTAAAACAATAGCTAACGAAGGTATTTTAGCGACTTTCCGGTACTTTGCGCAACATAATTATCACTTAGGTAAAAATAGTCACTTGGGTGCTAAGTAACGTTTAAGGGGGGGGGGAGTGTACAGCAAAACGTTACGGCGCTTTACGTGGTGGGAGGGAGGGTCAAAAAATCTTCAAAAATTGCGTTACGTAATACTTGAACGCCCCCCAAAGATCGTGTGTGATGTCCATGTCATACCTATGCCAGTACTTGTTGGGAGCATTAAGTTCGAAGTTGTTGATGAGTATGTTTACCTGGAACAAATAGTCCGACTAGGTAAGTCCAACTTGACCGAGAGGTCAACCGACGGATTCAACTCGGCTGAGTAGCGTTCGGAAAATCACGACACATCTCTTCAGATATACCTCAAAACTTGAAAACGAGATTGTACAACCAGTATATGTTGCCAGTAATAACTTATGGATCTGAGACGTAATCCTTCACTGCTGGCCATATAGGGAAGCTTAAGATCGCTCAACGAGCTATGGAGAGAACTATGTTCAGAGTTTCTTTGGGTGATAAACTTAGAAATGAGGACATCTGCAGTAGAACCAGAGTCACCAACACAGCCCAATGGATAAGTAAGCTGATATGGCAATGGATCGCCCCTATAGCTAGAAGAACCGACAACCGAAGGGAATGACGAACCGAAAAAAGGTTCTCGAGTGGCAGCCTAGCACCGGTAGGCGACCTCGTAGTGTAGGGCGACTAGCTGGAGTTACGACCTGGTAAGACATGCAGGAAGTTGATGGATACAGGTGGCTCAAAACCTTGTTTTGTAGCATTCCATGGGGAGGTTTATGTTCAGCAATAGACTTGCGGCTATAACGTATAAATGAATGAATGTGCTATTTACTCGAAGGTTTAAGATGTCATGTGCATATAACATTTCTAATAACGCCAAATTTTTTATAGAGTAAAAGTGACAAACTAACGCACAGTCCACACGAATGTTTCCTGTAGTCCACAGACATCTACATCTATCCTCGTTTAGAAATCAAAAACAGATGAGTCGTCACCGGCACTCCCGAGGACTAAGATAGAAGTGGCTCCGGTTCTCTTCACGCACCATTTAATACACAGCTGCATAAAGATACTATTTCACGACATAACATTACTATAAATATTTCTTATTAATTACATAATCATTAATAAGGTATATTTATATATTTAGCACAGTAAGTACAAAAGTTAAGGTATTATTTAAAAAATATTAGTCTCTGAGAGATCACTACATATCTGTGTGATTTGCTGTAGAGACTATCAGTGTGTAGGTGCACACGTGTATTGAAGTTCCTAAAGGAAATCTATCCACGACAGGTCATCGTCGCTGGTGGTAAAACTGGTGGTACTTTTATTGCCCAAAAGCTAATTTCATTCAACAAGGTAACGCAGCCTGCGGTTTTAGCACTATAACGTAGGGAGTAAGATTGAATGATAATTAAAGTTTTTGTTTCTTTTTATTATGGTTTTTTCAATATTGTATATAATTGAATGTTATATGTTAATAAATTTCAAAAATATGTGGTTTATTTTACGCAAGGTCGAGTCTTGTAATTGAAACTATATGGTTATTGCAACTAATTTAAATAACTCCATCTATCATCACTATTTCGAACAACGACAGGCGTAATATTGTTCTTCTATCATAAGTTCCAATGAAAAGATTATGATGGTGCTGATAGCTATTGAACTGTGTAAATTACATGACTTTTTGTCAAACCGCCATTTTGTTCGGGGTGACGCGGCGTAAACGCGGAGCGCAATAGTTATTTAATTCTGTTTTTTGGTAGGTTTCTTTATAAAGGAAGTGATTATCTACTACGGTAAGTTGTTTTTTTACGTATTTATTTCATTCCACGATAAATCTAGCCCAACTTATGGGTTCAGTTACATTTACCAGACTAAAAATCAAAAGTCAGGTTATTGCAACTATTTTTAAATTTTTAGGTTATAATCATAGTTGCATTTATTTGACAGCTTTAAAATAAAAAAAATAACTACTACGATAAAAATATTTTATCGAAAGGGATACTATTCATACTAAGCAGTAGTTGAATAGTTCGTTTATATATTTGAAATTATTGGCGCTAGTGTCGCTCTTTGAGTCAAATATTAAAATTATGATTCACTAGGTAGTAGTGAATAATAAATGATTTATTTTCAGTTTATCTCAGTATTTGATAAGTGGAATCCTGGCATTTAGGTCACCTTATTTTATTTGATGTTCAGACGCCAGCAGGTCAAGCTACCCGAAACATTCAATTTTTCCCAATGAACCTTGAACCTAATGCTCTAGAAATAAAGTCGAAAATCTATCAAAGAAATCTGACAGATTGTAGTGGGTTGATGTGCTGGCGTCTGTACTACTGTACTACCAAACAATATCGTTTTACCTCTGTGACCTCTGTGATGCATAATGATCTGTTTTATAGTTTTTGAGTATCTTTTTATTTTATTTTGTAGATGCAAAAATATAAACGAACAAAAGAGACGAAGTATTCATTAGCTGATCTAATAGAAGCTGTCGAAAACGTATGACAAAAAAAATTAATAGCTACCAAGCCTCCGTAAAATACGGAATACCAAGGTCAACCATTATTCATCGTTTATACGGAACACGCGGTGCCAAACAGCTAACGCCTGGCAGACCTACTGAATTGTCAAAAGAGTGAGAAACTAAAGTAGCTTCTAATCTCCATGTGATGGAAAAATTTGGGTATCCATTAACCTCTAAGGAAGTAAAAATATTGATATCTAATTATATTCGAAGGAACGGAATCGTTACGAGATTTAAAGATAACTATCCTGGAAAGAAATGGTTTAGAAGATTTAAAAAACGTAACAAAATAAGTTTGAAAAAGCCGCAGTCTGTAGAAATAGCTCGAAAAAAAAGCATGTGATCCTTTCATATTTAACGATTATTTCGATATGTTACAACGAACAATACAAAAGTGTGGTTTGGCTGACAAACCGCAATGTATATATAATTTGGATTAAACCAGCTTTTGTAGTGACCCCACCAAAACTAAAGTTGTGGGTCTGATGTGGTTTCCCTCTACTAAAACGACAGGCTCTCCTGGGAGGAATAACACCACTGTGCTCTTAGCTACGAATGCACTTGGCGGAAAGATCCCACCCCTAATAATATTTCAAGGGAAACATCTGTGGAGCGAGTGGCTGCTTAAAAATGATAACATTCATACAGCGTAAAGCTGTCAGTAAAAAAGGGTGGATGGAGACCACCATTTTCGAACAATACATCAAAGCCATTTTTTTGCCAGCTATCGGAGCTGAATGACCAGTCTTATTGGTCTATGATGGTCATAAGACACATGTAGATTTGAATGTCATAGACCTTCTAATTGCCGAAAACATTACGGTTCTTAAACTGCCGGCTCACTCATCCCACATACTGCAGCCATTAGACTGTAGTACAATGAAACCTATGAAAGACAAATGGGACAGCGAACTTGTGAAATGGCAAAGATTCCATGTGGGAACAAAACTCCCAAAACAAGAATTTGCCAGAATCATAACTAATATATGGGTAGATTTAAATCCTGTTATCATTCAAAATGGCTTCAGGAAAGCGGGCATATGCCCTTTGAACAAAGATGCAATCCCAAAAGGAAAATTCGAGAGTCTGGCATGGTCAAGATGGGAAGAACACCAGCAGCAAAAAAAAACAGCTTCGTAATGATACTGATCACAATGGTGAAGAAAATGTTGAAGGAAGTCACACCAAGAAAGATAACAATCAGAAAGAACATAAAGTACCATCACTAATAAGTGTATGCCTTAAAACAATTAACAGAGAGATACGACGATTGCCAGATGAAATTGATAAGGCTATTGCAAACATTACACGGGATATGAAGAAAAAGCTACCGACAGAAAATGGTACAAAGGCTGATATGAACACGAACTCAGGTACTCGGGTTACGTTTCAAAAGTGGGAGACTGTAAAGGACCCTAAAACTTTCATACTTTCACGTCCTAATAATGTCAATGCCAATGCCAACAGTTATTCTTGTAACGTAAAAATATTGGACAATGTAGTAGTCAGCTCAACAATAAATAAAAGCAAAGAAGAAGAACGAGTTTCATTCGAAGAGCTACTATTAAAAACTATTTCACGTAACGACATACCTAAAACTTCAAAGAAACGGATAAGTCAAGGAAGCGAAATAAGACTTACAAAGATGCACTTCATCGTCTGAAAAATGAGAAATAAAAAAAGGAAAAAGCAGAAGAAACTAAACGGCTAAAAAAATGAAAAGAGCAAGTTATAATGAGAACAAAAAACCACTGATAAGTAAGTCCAAAGCAAAGAAAAATAAAAGGAAAAATACCTTAGACTCAGACAGTGAGAGTGATTATTCATATACTTCAATGAATTCTTCAGAAGATGAAGAACCTGAAGTTTTTTTTTTCAAAATATTTTAGAAGAAAGCATTGATGAAGATTTGCAGGAGCCATTACCATTATCTACTATACAAGGACAAGAAGAAAATAGACCTAAAATAAAAATCGAAAGAGTGAAGGAAAGAAAGACTTACACTGCCAAGAAGAAAATATTTACACAAAAGGAAGTAAGTACACATTATCATAAACTTTCTAAGTTATAATATATTAGTACATGAAGGATAACAATTTGATTTTATTTTCAGAATAAAATGCCACAACCACAAGCATCTGAGGTAAAAAAAAGATCTCGACGTGGATGACTTCATTTTGGCTGGATTTCGGTCGACTAAAGGCAAAAGACTAAATTCGTTTGTCTTATTGAGGATATTAACCAAGACAAAATTGTGGTCAAAGGACTCAAATCAAAGAAAGATAATAGAGAATTCAAGTTCGTTGAAAACGACATTTCCATAATTGATGTAGAAGATGTGATTTCATATTTTCTCAACGCCGTGTTAAATAAACAAAAAGATACAGTCATATTACCTTTTGAAGTAGAGGTATTTGAATGTAAATGATTTCCTATTTTGTTTTACTACTTTTTTAATATGCAAATATTTTGGATAGTATTTAAAAAGGTCTATGAGATAAGACTGTTTTTTTTTTGCAAAGATAAGTAAAAATGGCTGTTTGATTACTAAAAGATTACCTATTGTAATTATACCTTAGAAGTATTTTAAATTACTTCAATTTAAATATTATTAATGTACGATGTCGTCCTTTGATTAAGCTCAAAATAAACATCGATAAAACTGTATTCCTGACTTTTAATTTTGTTTCCATGCCAGTCGATAAAACCACAACAAGGTTCTCAACACTATTTGTAGGTAAATAGTTGCAATTACCGGACCCATGTCTAAAACGTGATTTTGAGCAAAATTTTACGTTATTACTAGGGCATAGATATCAAAATATTATGAAATATTGAACAAGGTATATTTCTTCAATATAACGATAGCAGTACCCACAGAAAAAAAGTAAAAAGTAATTATTTGCAATTACCCGCCAGGACGAGCACAGCCCTCTCCATAGCTCGCTGAGCGACCTTGAGCGTCCTCATACGGCCAGCGGTGAAGGACCACGTCTCAGATCCGTAAGTCATCACTGGCAACACGCACTGGTTATACACTTTAGTTTTCAGAGATTGAGATGAGATGAGAGATTCAAGATGTGTCGTAATTTCCCGAACGCCGCCCAGCCGAGTTGAATCCGTCGATTGACCTCTCGGTCAAAGTTGGACTTACCTAGTCGGACTATTTGTCCCAGGTAAACGTACTCGTCAACAACTTCGAGCATAGTGCTCCCAACAACTATCGGCATAGGTGTGACATGGACATTAAACATGATCTTTGTTTTGTCCATGTTCATCTTAAGACCTATCCGTTGGGAGACACCATTGAGGTCATTGAGCATAGTGCTAAGGTCCTCCAGCGATTCTGCCATAAGGACTATATCGTCGGCAAATCGAAGGTGAGTGATGTACTCGCCATTGACGTTAATACCGTATCCTTTCCAGCCCAGTAGCTTGAAAACGTCTTCCAACGCAGCGGTGAAGAGTTTCGGGGATATAACATCACCCTGTCTTACACCTCTCTGCAGTTGGATTGGTTTCGTACTCTGGTTCTGTACTCGGATAGCCATCGTAGCCCTACTGTACAAACACTTCAGCACTTCAATAACCCGACAGTCAACTAGGCACCACTGAAGAGACTGTAGCACCGCCCAAATTTCGACGGAATCAAAGGCTTTCTCATAGTCCACATACGCCAGGCAAAGTGGCAGATTGTACTCTTCGGACTTCTGTACAATTTGCCGATGGGTATGTATGTGGTCTATGGTACTGAAGCCTTTTCGGAAACCGGCTTGTTCGGGAGGCTGGAAGTCGTCGAGTCTGCGTGCGAGACGATTCGTAATGACTCTCGAAAACAGCACGTAGACGCGGCTCAGAAGGGAAATCGGTCTGTAGTTCTTCAAGAGAGCGTTGTCGCCTTTCTTAAAGAATAAGATTACCGCGCTTCTGCTCCACGCCTCCGGAGTCGAGCCACCATGGAGGACGGAATTGAAGAGCTTCTGAAGGACTTCAAGTACCGGTGTTCCATCCGCTTTCAGAAGCTCCGCTGTAATTCCATCCTCGCCCGAGGCCTTGCCGTTTTTAATGTGGTGGAGAGCCATTCTAATCTCGCTCCGACTGACGTCCGGGATATCATCGGAATAGTGTCGGATAAGACTTTCTCTTGGATCGTTACTCACACTTGCGTGTGGCTCCAACGATGATGTGTACAGCTGCCCATAGAACCTCTCAATCTCACTCAGAATCTCAGGTGTCCCGGAAACGATGTTGCCACACTCAGTCTTCAGCCTTGACAGTTGGCTTTTTCTGGCAGACAGATCTCTGGCAAAGACTTTGGAGCCCTGGTTCCGCTCGATCGCTTCTTTAACACGAGCAGTATTAAAGTTGCGTAAGTCTCGCCACATGCATTTGGAGATCTGTCTGTTCAGTTGCCTGTATGCTGTCAAATCTGTTGACGATTGCAGCCTCATGTTCCGTCTAACAGCCATGAGATTAAGAGTGTGATCGGAGAGTTTTTGTGTTCTTCTGCGGCGGGTCGTGCAGAACTTAGCTCCGACCGCATGGACAGTTTCCACAAGCTTGTCATTCATATCGTCCACTGCATTGCAATCCTCTAGACTCACTAAGGTTTCGGGATTCTGGATTAGAGTACGAGGGGGGATGGAGCGTTGACTCTCCAACTTAACATTTAGGTTCAGTATGCCTCTAACCATTCGGTGACCGCTGCTAGTTTTCACCCTTGCGATCACTGAGATATCACTGAACAGTTGGCTTCTTGTCGTCATAATGAAGTCAATCTCATTTTTTGTCGAACCGTCGGGGCTCGACCAGGTCCACTTCCTGTGGGGCCGCTTCTGGAAGAAAGAGTTCATCATAAAGAGTCCCTCTTTCTCCACAAAGTCGGCAAGCTGCTGTCCCCTTCGGTTCCGTTGCCCTACTCCAAATTTCCCCACCTTCAGCTCACCACTTTCTCTTGTGCCTAGTTTTGCGTTGATGTCACCCATCAACACCGTGTAGTGGGTTTTGGAGGAATGCATGGCTCTGGAAATATCCTCATACATTTCATTCACCTCCTCATCGGGATGTGCCGAGGTTGGTGCGTAAACCTGTATGACCTTCAGCGAATACCGTTTGGTGATTCTGAGTATCAGGTACGCGACCCTCGTCGACACACTCCCAATCTTTACAACTTTGTTGACGAGAGACTTGTGGACGATAAATCCGACACCTCCTTGGGACAGATGGTCGCCCTCCCGGTGGTAGAACAAGTTTCCGGACTCGAGGATTGCCGTATCCTCCCCCCTCTCTTCGGACCTCGGATAATCCAATAATATGCCAGCGCAACTTGTCTACCTCTTCTTCCAGCTCCAGTATCTTCTCGTCAGTCCTCAGAGTGCGTGCGTTATATGTTGCCAGGTCGAGTCGTCGTAGGTGGCAACCGAACCTCCACCGGAGATTCTTAGCACCCCCTGCTCCGCCGTTACCATGGTCGCCACCGTAGCCAGGAATAGCGGGGCCGCCGGGGACTGGGGGCCGTTTTTTTGCGTCGTTATTCATGGGGGGATATTTGCCATAGTTGCCACGCTTGGCGAGTGGGTTGGCAACTATGACAGATAATGGAGAGGGCTATGCTCAGAGTTTCACTGCGTGATAGACTCAGAAATGAGGATATCCGCAGTAAAACCAGAGTGACCGACATAGCCCAATGGATTAGTAAGCTGAAGTGGCAATGGGCCGGCCATATAGCTCGAAGAACCGATAACCGATGGGGAAGAAAGGTTCTCGAGTGGCAGCCTCGTACCGGTAGGCGTAGTGTAGGGCGACCCCCCACTAGATGGAGTGACGACCTGGTAAGACATGCAGGAAGTCGATGGATGCAGGTGGTTCAGGACCGTGCTTTGTGGCATTACTTGGGGGAGGCCTATGTTCAGCAGTGGACTTGTGAAGGGCTGTAATGATGATGATGACGATGACCCGCCAGGACGGGTAATTGCAACTATTTGTGCCTGTGTCAGAAATTTATTTAATAGATGATTAAGACTACTTTTACGGATTTTATCGCGTTTATTTTTACTTTTTATTTACTTTTATTTTTAATTCCCGACGTTTCGGGCGCTTTCCAGCACCCATGGTCACGGGGGACTGAGATGACTGACGTCCCGATGTCATTATTAAACCCGGAGTACCTTCAGCTTTTTTAATTATTGTTTATGGTCCGATCTATGCAAAATGAACTGACTATGTCCTGAGGTCTTGCAGTGGTATGCTTGGGTTTAGTTTTAATTTTATTGATTATAGGATCCCAAGCAGGTGGTAGTACTGGGTACTACCACCTGCTTGGGATCCACCTCCACCTCTATTGAAATTGAACCACCTCCTTCTCTATTGAAATTAGGATATTTTTTAATTTCAATAGCTTCACGTATCATCCTTGGTAGGAATCGGTGTTCTTTTGCGAGGATTTGTGGTCTATCAAATCTGATGTAATGGTTGGGTCCGTCTAGGATATGATCACAAACTGCAGACTTCCCGGAACGTTGATGCTTCACATCAGCTATAAGTTCTTTTACGCGGGTCCTAATTGATCTTTTTGTTTGTCCTATATAAGAGAGACCACATTCACAATCAAGCTTGTACACTCCTGCATCTTGTAGAGGAATATGACACTTCACGGATGGTAGGAACTGACTAATCTTCTTCGGCGGCTTGTAGAATGTTCTAATAGAAGCTCGCTTCAAGATATAGCCAATCTTGTCTGTGACACCTCTGACATATGGTAGTACAGCAGGTACACGCTCGACTGTGGCCGGCTTCACTCGGTCACTGTGACGTAGGCGCGGGACCCGAAGCTTGTTGTCGTGCAGAACTTGCTTGACGTGCTGAAGCTCGGCGGCCAGGTGTTTGCTGTCACAGATCCCTCGGGCTCTCTGTAACAAAGATTTGCCCACGGTAGCTAACTGTGAAGGATGGTGGTGAGATTCACCGTTAATATCGGTTTGTATGGGTCCTTTTCCTATACACAGTGTGACCAATGGTGTTATTTGGATTTCGGATGACTACCACATCTAGGAAAGGTAAGGAATTATTTGCCTCTAACTCCATGACGATACTTTCACAATTTTACCATCAGACAAAGTAATTGCATTTTTAGAACATCTTAATTCCATAAACTCTAAAATTCAATTTACTATGGAGTTAGAGGCAAATAATTCCTTACCTTTCCTAGATGTGTTAGTCATCCGAAATCCTCACATAGTCAGTTCATTTTGCATAGATCGGACCATAAACAATAATTAAAAAAGCTGAAGGTACTCCGGGTTTAACAATGACATCGGGACGTCAGTCATCTCAGTCCCCCGTGACCATGGGTGCTGGAAAGCGCCCGAAACGTCGGGAATTAAAAATAAAAGTAAATAAAAAGTAAAAATAAACGCGATAAAGTCCGTA